GTCTCAAACTATACCTACCTCTTCTGGTTTGTCTGATTTGTCATTGTGTTTTCTGACTTGTTATAATGTTTTCTGAATTGTTGTTGTTTTCTGAATTGTTAATTTGTTTTTTAGACTTGCATTTGCGTTTGTAATTTGTTATTTTGTTTTCAGAATTGTGATTTGCTTTGCACTTCTCGGCCACCGTATGATCTTCATATTCAGTATTATTAAAGTATAATGAATGAAATAGTATATATGACTGAATGCACCAGAAAATGTCATTGCTTTTGGCTAAACAACAGAATAAATGACAGATGAACTTACCGTATAATTTTTTTTAATTCCAATTATAATTGATTATAATATAGTTGATAATTTGCTTCATATGCATTGGCTGTTGACTTCATGACCAAAAATACTTTGCTTTCATGCTGTCTGTTACAGGCTGAGGCTAAACCTACTATTAGAGGCTTAAATCGTTTTTTCTGTCATGATGTCAATTTATAAATAAGCATGAATGAAAAATATGAAAAAAGTGGTTAATATTCCTTGGTTAGTAGTGCTGATAACACAAGTTTGAGGTCTGACTGTGTAATTTGTAAAAAAAAAAAAAAAAAATCCTCTGTAATTTTAACATTGGCATAAAATAGAAATTCACCCTATTTTCGAAATACATGATCTTACTGTGCACAGTTTATCAGTGCATGCTTTTCTTTCTTTTGAAATTATTATTATTTTTTTAATTTTGACCTCACAATATCATAATTTTGAATCACAATATCATAACTTGACCTTCCGGTTAAAAGGAAAGACGCAGATGCAGATCTTCTCCAATCATTTAAGCCTGGAATACACTACACGATTTTTGCCCTGATTTTCCACCGATTTACAGTGTTGACGCTAGTTGCCGAAATTCAAAGCCAGTCTGCAGATTTGAGTTGACAGATTTCATAGAAAATTGTGTAGTGTATGATGGTCACAGACTCAGATTTCTTAGCTTCAGACTCCACGCAGTCTGAGTATATCGAACATGTTTGATATTTATAGCCGATTTTAGAACACATATTGTTTTCATTTGGTAATCGTCTCCTTGCAACAAGGGGCATGTTTCTGCATGAGTTTGTTGTGTTGGAAAGACTTCAAAGTCTGGTAGGCCACATTCACACAGCAGTAGAATACGGTTGTCAGTCATGTATTTTAAGTCCTTAATACGGTTACGTTCACACACAGTTCGGTTATTTACGGGTGTGACAACCGCATTCTGTAACCGAACTCAGACCTGTACATTTTGAGGACTCACAACAACCGCATTCTCGGAAATCAGGAACTGTGCTTTGAGTTGACACTTCCGTTATCTGTCATATGCGGAAGCCGTTCCGGCGGATGACGTAAGACGTCAGCGTTGCGTGATTAGTGACGAACGCGGAGAGAGACCAAAACAAAACGCCGGTCATGAATTAGAAGTACAAACCGAGGATTTGCAAAGAAAAATGTCGGAGGATTTCGATATAAACCAAGAGGAGACTGGTTTTCCTTGGCTAAAGTAAAGAAACTTTGCTTCCTTTGCTCCTATAAACAAACTCGCGAGACTAGCATATCTCAGAGGCGCGCGCGCTGCACATACGTGCTGCGTCATCCGCCGGAACGGCTTCCACGTATGACAGATAACGGAAGTGAGAGAGAAGTATTTATTACGTTTGAAATATGGATATTTTTCTTACAAAAACTCATGGATTCACTACAGGATGCCTTTATTCAACCCCCCGGAGCGGTGTGAGGCATGTTTGTTATGGATGTGCGCGATTTATTTGATGACTTGTGAACTGTTCAGCTGTAACACCCGCTGACTGCAATGAGAGAGCTTGGAAGAGCCAGGACAATTTTTAATATAACTCCGACTGGATTCGTCTGAAAGAAGAAAGTCATATACACCTAGGATGCCTCGAGGGTGAGTAAAACACTAATTTTCATTTAATTTTCTAAGTCTAATTTAAATTTTTTTGGTGAACTAACCCTTTAAGACTTTCAGTTTTAAGGACGTCACCATCTTTGATATTACTTTGGTCACTGTTGCTATGGTTACTGGTAAGGAATGACTCCTGTTGTTCATACAGACAGTATCTGAGGCGGTACTGTAAGCTGCTGGGTGAACGGGACATTTCGAAACTCACACCTGTTAAGTAAATGCAGTTGTCAGTCCCAAAAAGTGACAGTGTGAACGTAGAATGATGCATAGAACAAAGTTCATGGCCTACTTTCTTCCTTTATAATCAATTACACTCTAAAGCCCGATTCGGACGGTAATTGTTTCTCATATGGACGTCTGTAAAAATACATTTACATATCACCTCTGTGATAAAACTCATGGAGCGAGTTTTGTGATCCTACGAAGCCGGGAACGCACTGCTCACGTGGCTAGTCACATGATTGTCTGCTGTAAATAAAATGATTTTTATTTACAAATGCATTCTTATCATTGTATAAAATGTATTTAAAAATACTTATTATTATGTAAAAGGTATTCTTATTATTCCAAGCATATTTTATAATATATAATCCTATATGTTATTTGAATATTTAAATCTCCTGTTTAAAAATAGGAAAATAGACGTGCTATAGTTGTATATAATTATACGCGATATATAATAATACACATTTTAAAATTGTATTGCATACCTACTGCTGCCATGATAAAGACCCATTTCGAATGTTTACGTGCTTTTCTTCTCTTTCTGCTCCCGGTCGCTGTGGTGGAGCAGATATGAAGTATTGTTCTTTTAAATACTTTCCAGCATTTCAGAAATAAATATGTATGCAAATTACACAGAAGTACAACGTTACCTTAAAAGGGTTTAAACACTGAATTTTTAATCGATTTCTTCTCGTAAACTCAGAGATGTGAATTCGGACGGCAATTAAATTACCACACGACCTTGGTGTTTGTCAAAAAACAGTAGGTAATTCAGCCGGGGATTTTTACGGAGGTGGTGAGAGAAAAACACTGACATCCTGGATTCGGACGGCATTAAAATCACCAACTACCCCCTGTAAATGGAGAAAATCACTTACGTCTACCGTGTCACTGTGTGGAATCTTGTAGGAGAAATTGATTGTGTCCGCTCTTCCTCGGTGTCTTCCCTTCAACACTTGTGTTGTGATTCTCACTTTGACCTTCTCCACACTTTTCTTAATGAAGGCAAGCCCACAAGGTAAGCACACATGTGTCAGTGCCTTCAAAAA